GATCAAAGTCATATAGATTCGACATATATGAGTCTCGTTGTTTTCTTTAGCAACTGAAAATTGTTTAAAATATTGATATAAATTCACTAATCAAAATGGATCCTGGTGGATTCTGGTGGATCCTGGTGGATTCTGGTGGATCCTGGTGGAATCTACGGCTCCTGGTGGATTCTAGAATCCATCAGGAGCCACCAGGAGCCGCTTTCCCCCCTTGATCTGGCCACTCACACCCAACATCTACTACATCAGAAATCGTCATAATTGTGTAGTTACATATAAACCTTCGCTGCTGTAAAATACTAGAAATTTATATTGGTATTTATGACATTTCTGAGAGTTAATTTAAATATTTGTGTAGTCAATAAAAGCTAGAGGTCGAGAATGTAGCTTTTTTCCTGTTCCATCTTTTATTATTGCGGCATGTTTATTAATTCTCTAAAAGCAAAAAAACGCAGCTGCGGAAGAATAGTTGGAATAAATGAATAATTTCAGACAAAATATAACTATGAAAGCATTTAGGCAGTATAAACTCATTATATATACATCGATTACACCTTCAATATACTTCAAACAAAAATGGTAGTTTGGTCACAGTATGTAGATCGATCTAATGTAAGTAGGGGGAACCATATTTATGCGTTACGAAAGCTGGGTATATATCAGCATCACGGTGTTGTCATTGCAAGGGCAGATGCATATCATCTCAAGCCAAAGCCAGAAATTATTGAAGAATTTATGGTCATAGAACAAAATCTAGAAGGACTACGTGTTGTTACTCTTGACAATTTTGTGTTCGAAGATGGTAAATTTATTAAAAGAAAGCATTCTCTTCGTCGCGTTGAATATGGTGAAAATCCTTTTGTATATGGAATCAAAAGACGTGGTTCAAGTTATATTCAAAACGCTCTCCCATCTGATTTAATAGTTCAAAATGCTGTTTTAATTTATAATGATCCAAAGGAAAAACAAAAATGGTCTACCTATTCACTACTAACACGTAACTGCGAGCATTTTGCATTTAAATGCTGTGTTGAAACAAATATGTTAAGCGAACAAGTTTTGGCAAAGTACGATCTTTTAAACAACACGTTAAGTACTGCCACCATTACTGTTGGATCGCTTCTCTGGGGATGGAGTAAAAGTTCGTATACATTTTCCTGCCGGGATTTTTCTAGTTGTTAATCAGATCTTTTATTTTCTTCGTTTAGAACTTCTCACAAATGTGATATATATCGGTGAAAAGCTGGTGCCATCTAGTATCACAAATCTTACTATTACTTCGTTAGATGAAGTCGTCAAAGCTTCTTTACCAGGTAAACACAGAAGAAGAAAAAATTTAATGATAATATCCACGCCGTTTATTATTTTTTTCTTTAGGTAATGCAATTACTTCTGGTATCGCGTTCATTGTAGAAATCTCTGTTCTAACAATACGATGGATCATATTTTTATGCGTTAAGAATAACACTGAGACACTTAACACATACTTGGCGGCTGGCTTTGCTATTGACACAAAGAGATATGTGAAGTCTCTGATTCAAGCTGGCATTTCAAACTTATCTTCGTTTGGAATGTCAATAGCTGGTACAGCTGTTGGCGCATTTGTGCCTCTCCCAGGTGCTACAGTTGGCTTTTCCATTCTTTTTGGTTTTATAGGTTATACAATTGCTCGATGGGGTGCCGGTGGACTACTCGATGCATTTGAAAAAATGATCACCGGGAGAAATGAATGAATACATGATTATTTTGTTCAGTCTTGAAATGAACTCATTATTTATTATATCAATCAATCGCGTTTTATTTCATCATTGAATGCTGTTAACGGTGATTGATACCACTAGCCCCTTGATTACACGACTATAGTGTTTAAATGTCGGATCTTCACATCTGCGAACATAAAATCGAAAATCAAAATGTTTTAAATGAAATTAAAATCTTTTTCTTAGTTTGAAACTTCAATTCGAAAAACATTTCAGGCTTCAAATTTTGGTTTTGAAAAATTAAATCGAAGATTTTAAATTTTCGTTTTTTATTTATTAAACACTAATTGAGAACAATTTTAATAAAAATGATATCTTCAGTTTTGCTAGTAACTATCTGCAATTTGTAGGGTTCGCTAAATATTTAATTTCATCATTTGTATTGAATAAGCTGTAATATATGAGATTCAGTAGAGAAAAATACTGCTATCAATATTATGATCTATTTCTCTGAGGTTCATCATACAATCTATAAGGTATAGTCAAGATCTATTTACGCTTTCATTCGAATATTTTTTATATCAATCGTATTTTTTTCATTTTGACGATTTATGCTCGTTTATTATGACTAAAAATTCGTCAAGAAGGAAACAATAGAAATAGAACTAGATAATACTCATCTTACGTTTGACACAACTTCCTTTATTTCTACCATTTTTTTCTGCCTTTGCTCGTATTTTATCACTAATATTTCATGAGTAAGAATTGAAAAAACACGACTCAATATGCATTTCTACTTTGATTTGAAAAATTAGCATCTAAGCCAAATTGAACTCTATACCATATACATTATGATCATTGATTGATCCAAAAAGAAAAAGAAAGATAGAAATAAACTATATAATATTCATTTTAACTTTGACTCAGCTTCTTTTTACGTAGACCCATTTTTTTGCTCTTGCGCGTCTTTGTAATACTATATATTCATTATTCATGAGAGAATTAGATTATTATTGATCTTCATAGCCACATATTTCTAGAAATCAACTGAACTATGTCTTGATAATAAATATTCGTTATTAACAAGCTATATGTTCTACGTATTCAATCGAATCGTTTAAAGCAAGGAACTCTATATTAAAAAAAACATGTCATTAAGAAAACGAACTAATTTTCTTTACAAGAACTCTCTCTTCAGAAAAAGAATTCAGTTTTCTACAGATTTCACCATTTTTTTAGAACTGAAAAGCTTTCTATTATCAAAAACTTACGTCCTCTACAAACAGCAGCAGCTATTTAAACTTTAGGTGCTTTCTATTCTAACTGATTAACGTCTTCTACAAATCGCAGTAAACTTAGTTAAGTGAAAATAACTTTTCGAAATCTTTAATTGGAATAATTTAATACTAATCAACTTTAGACCAAACGAAGTTTTTCTTTTAAAATTTAACGAAAATTTAAAATTTAAATTTAGTTAAATACATTCTCCGGCGTATCCTGCTAGGCATGAACCGTGTTCTTTTTGTGTCCAGTATAATCGTAGATATCTGTTCCAGGGTAACCTGGTTTAGGTTAGTTTTATGTATCGAAAATAATCCAGCGATGATTGCTTGCTTCTTTACAAACATCTTCATGACTGTTTCTATACTGGTGGTTTGGTTCACTGTTCAGAATAGGAAAGGTAAACTCTTGACTTGTATTTTTTGAAGTCTCTGTAACGGTCTGTGATGGTCTCTAGAGACTCCATACGTTTGATATAGACCATGATAGACGGATTCCAGAAAAGAAGTTTCATCGTGTTTCACATTTTAATCCCACAGGGATTGCGCTAACAGTTTTTCTCTTTTAGAATGTATTCTCATATATGAATGACGACCAACCACTGCCAATAACAAAAATAAAAAAATGTAGGTATAATCATATTAAACTAAGTTCTTTTCGTTTCTAGCTCCAGAGGTGTTATATTTATGTTACATTACTCATGATGCAACTAGTATTCCTTCTTAAATAAATTCAAAAGTTCACTGTTGTTTTCTTTGCATTTCGATGTTCTTACAACAACAATTCGGCGAAATGAAATGAGATCAGAACGAGCGCTTCTGTTGAGTCGAAACGATATTATTCCAGATGGAATATGAAAAGTTAAAATATATTTTTAACTAAATATATACAACAGAAAGAGCCACTCATTGTTACTAATTACAAATAATGAAATACATATATTATCAGATTAGATTTTACAACAGTTACTGAACGAAATGACTAAAATCATACTGTGATTATTTTATGAAAAGAATAAACTGAACCGAGGATCGAGATCTCTTCATTCACATGTTGATTTAGTCTTTCGTTTTGGTGCTATTCTTGATCACCATTATCGTCATGATCATATGCTAAATACTGGGTACGTCAGACTGAGTTTGTATCGATGCTAATCTTGAACGACAATGAAGACCAAGTGAATCTGGTTAAGATATGTCATTGTTCCTTGATTAAAAATACATCGATTCATCAAGATTCACAGTTTATTCATGTGAGGTACGAAGAAAAGTTATAAATAACAATAAGATTATATACTAATTGCGGAGCGGCACCAAAAACATGAAACAAAACGCATAATAAACAAGATTTAAAAAATAAGAAGCGAATCTTGTTTATTGAGAAGTAAACGTTTCGAAGCCTAAAATTTGACTTTATTTATTAAATTAATCTTAGTAGGCAATACAACTTTCTATTGCAATGATAGTATTCGACTGTGTTACATTTACAGGAACTAAGATTTTATATGTATTCTATGTCAGTATGACATCTCAAATTAATCTGATGATGCATTTTTTGTTTGAAGTTTGAAATAACATACAATATGGATGTATCTAACGCTCCTAAAGTATTCAACTCATGTACAATAATCATAGCTCTACATGTTTTTCTATTTTATTTTATTTAATTATATCACCACATATCTTTCTACATTTGACTTTCAAATAAATATTTTGCTACTGGAGACGCTTGTCTATTCTAGAGAAATTCTAATTAAATTGAAGATAAATAAACAATCGAAAATAAGTGTTCTTAGTAAGAACTTCGGACCTTTCTGTCTATCATAGTCAATAGTGTTTTGAGGACGTTTTGTAGAATTCAAAAGAAAACATGAACTAATCCTCAAATAAATTATCTAAAGTTTTTGCTTTATGTTAATCATACAACTTTCATTTGAACCTGATTTCTTCGAGATATCTTGATAAATCCTTTCTACGTAACTACTACATATAAAAGCTACTATCCTCGCAAACATGACTTAATTGTGATTTTGTTGATTGGCTCGACCTCATATAATAGTGAGAACAGAGTAGAATGAAAAATTATTCATACGTCTATTTTTTTGTTTAGTAACATGGAATAAATTCGAGCTTTTTTCACAGCATACGCTCTGCAACGAATCATTCTTTGTTGGAAAGAATGTGTAAGTCATTTTTTGCATGCATTAGTTTACAAATGTAATGTAAAGAAGCTAGGATACAATCATTTCTTTCATTATGAGTATTACACTCTAAAAAAGGCTCTTTCCCAAACCCTCCGAAAAAGTTTCCGTAGATTTGGAAAAGCATGGAAATACATTCTAGTGCTCAAAAAACAATTTTTCAGTTCTACGAAACTTTTAAAGATTCCATACATGTCGAACTTGAAACTTGAATTCAACTGAAACTTCAAGTTTCAACTTTCAACTTTCAAGGGTGTGGGTGCCGGGGAAGGGAGATACGCTTGTCTACACACACATATGTACCCTTA